ATAGATTATCAAGTAGCAAGTACTAGTAGAACAGATTTTAAGGAAAATCTATACATAATACTAACATCTATTCTAAAGAAGAACAGACAAGACACAGTTGAGTGTGTACAGTTACTACGAAACTGTAGGTTTTTTAGTATTTTGGATATATGTTGCTGAGTCGGAAATATAATGGTAGAACAAGTTAATGGAAAGAATGAAGTTTTCTGTATGATTTTGGAATGGGTGTCTTGTGAAATTTGTTTTGTTGTGATGTGGTTGGGTTTAATAGTTTTTTAATGTGGTTATATGGTTAGCTTTAGGTCGGTAGATTATGTGTATAAGATGGGATGAGTTAGAGTTTGTTTAAGACTTTAACTGTGATGGATTAACTTACGTGGAATGCGTTGTTACATGTGTTTGTTATGTTGTTTGTTTTGGGTGGATGGTAGTGAGAAGTGGTGTATATATGTGCAGTTGTATTCGCAGAATTCTGTGAGCGATATTGTGTGGTTTTTTAATCGTTTTTTTTTGGTATTTGTTGGAAATTTATTGTCAATGAAGGCGATTATTATCTGAAATGTAAGAAAAACAAAGTATATATAGTAGACTTGAATCTAGGCTAATCTAATAGTGGATTATTTTTGTTTTAGTAGATGATTAGAAAGGAAAAATAACAGAAAAGAAATGTACTTGTTTTTATATAAATTTTTTTTGAATTGGCTGCAAAGTGTTAATTTCCAGTTTTAATGAAGTATAATTAAATAGCAGATTTTGTAATTGATGATTTTTTATCCAAGTAAATTTCAGTACATATATGGCTTAGGTTTGGTCTCGTCCGGTAATGTTAAGTAATTAACATCGGGACGTTTCTTGATCAGGAAATGCTCGATTGGAAAAGGATTTTCCTGTGTTTGCAATATTCGAATCTTTAACTCTTTGATTTGGGGATGATTTCCAAAGTTTTCGTTCAAAATATGATTTATTTCTTGTTCGAAGTTGTCTATGACAGTTTTGTCCCAATTAGACGGATAAGGAAGTTGTAATATTATTTCTTGTTGCGGTCCTGGTGGTTGTGTTGCTTTTATTTGACGGTATTTATCATAAGCGAAAAGATGTCTACGCATAGTATCATAAGTAGGTACACATGCTATTTCATTTCGTATTGTTACGCCAAAATCTTCGATAACCTCTTCGTGACCTTGAGTGAACGTTTCATCGGAAAAGCCATGAATTCTAAGTATGATGCTGATGTGAATAAGCTCATTTTTGAAAGAATACTCAGTAGAAGAATATCGAATTGCTTTTAATATAGATTTTCGTAGCCAACTCCATACATTTCGTTGTATTGGAAGTTGAAGTAAATCAAGAGATGGTGGTAGTACAGGTTCATGATACATACATTCATGATAAACACTTGTTTGGAGAACACCATTATCATTAGATATTTTGATGTCACGAAAATGTATAGTTGATCCAATTTCAGTTATATTCCATGTTGGTTGAGAAAATTGTGTATTAGCCATAGTAAGAATTGAACGAAGTTCATCTTCAGATCGATTCCATGTAATGAATGCTTCATCTCGATATCTATTTATATGAATAGAAAATCGAATATTTTATGTGAATTTATTATTAGTAAAAGAAGACACATACCTAAGAAATAGTTCATTGTTATTAATTAAATTACTTAATAAATCGTGTTGCCAATAGAATAAATAGATATAAACTAATGGAATAGTTAATAATGAGCCAGATGCACCACCTTGAGTTTGTTTATAGAATTTGTAATTATAGACAAAATATTGATTATCAAGTACAAGACGAACAAGTTGAAGAATAGTATCAGTGGTCATATCTTGAATATGATAATCTGATAATAGACAATGATTAAGAAAACGTTCTAAAGCAATAATAACTTGTTCATGTGAAAACATGAGACACAAATTATCTATATTAAATGTAGCAAACAATGTAGTTGGTTGAAGTTGACCATTTTTCTGATAAAATTCCATTTCATGTATAACATTAACAGTTTTGTGAAATTTTTTACATTGAGTTGAATCATTAAAAAGTAATCCAAGAAGACGACCAAGAAAACGACAGATGCCCTCTGTTGGACCATCATTACATATCATGATGGGTTGAACAGGTATTCCTTCCTGTATAAATATATATATATATATGTGATGACAAAATATAGAAGAAAAGTAACTAAAGGAACAAATACATACTTTATGTGTTTGTGATACGAAATATAAATAATTCATTCGTACTGATGTTCGATTGATTTTCATCAGGTTATATTGTGTTTCAGTAATAGATTTAGAATGAAATAAATTATTCAATGTTGTTTCGACTCGGTCAACAATATTAGCTAAACGATTTTGACTTGCATGTGGATATGAACGACTGAGTTTAAAAAGGAATGAATAGCAATTTGTTTGTGTCATGAATTTAAACGTTTTCTTTTGAAAAATATTTATTGAATCCAAATGATATCCAATACCTTTATAGATAGGTCGTAAGATAAGATTATGAATAGCCAATTGACGTCGAATTGAACGAATTTTTTCTCTATAATCACTAAATTCTCGACGTGCATGTCGATTCATAGAGTACCATGTTATATCCGAAGTGGAAAAAGGAACTTGATGCCAATCAAGATTCTTGAAATTTGATGATTCTTTATGATGATAAGTTATTTCCTTATCATCATCATCATCGTCACCATCATTATCATTATCATCATCAGACGAAGACCAATCCTTTTCATTGATTTTGTTGTCCATAGGTTCAAATTCGTCAATCGCAGAACAACTTTCTTCCTGTTCTAATTCATCATCGTTATTCGATAATAATATGTTATTTTCTGTAGTGTCCATAATTTATCTTCGATGATTTTGATATAAGTTGTTATTCAAAAACTGAGTATTTTCTTAAGAACAATATATCTAGAATAATCAAGAAATGAGTAATATATATTAATGTGTTTAATAATTATATGACTTTTATTTCATGTTAATCTAAAGTTATAATATAGCAAGAGTAAGTATAAGCAATGAAGAAAAAAAAGAGATTGTTTTGGTATGAATAAATATCTTTGTTTGACATATTGTTTAAGTTTTAGTAATGATGTTCTCTTGAAATATAGTCTTTAATATCTGTTCAATATTATATTGAGCACGTTCAGCCATATTCAATTGACGATTTTCAATAGCAGTTATAACGCTGTCGACAGTGGGTGGTTTTTTAAATTTCTCTTGATTATTTAACACTTTTTGTTTCTCATTGTTCACTTTTTGAACATAGTTTTCGACAATAGTTTCAGCTGTAGAGATAGTTTTCATTACTATATCTTCGATAAATTGATCAATAGAATTTGCCTGATGATTTGTTGCTGCTGACAATTCTTTATCAAAAATTAGATATGTAAATATATCATTGATTTTTGTTAATGCTAAATCTTGGAATGTGCACAATGTTAAAGAAGAAGAAGATTTTGAAGAAGACAACCAAGTTTTAAATAAAGCAATCTCATATTTGAGTGCTTTTTCATCTTGAACTGCTTTCCAAATAGTTTTCGCTGAATGTATCTAAATAATAGGATGAGAAAAGAAGATATATATAATATTAATGGTAATTATAAATATATTTACAGACCTCTGTTTGTCTTGGTTTTAAGTTGTAGAAAGTATGAACTAATTGTTGATCTTTAGCATCAAATTTAAGTATAGCTCTGCGTCGTTCAAGTTCCATACGTAATTCATATTGATCTCTATCAGAGCTGTGCAAAAAGCGTTACGTCAAGCCCCGTAATGCCCCGTAACGCCCCGTAACGCCACGTGGATATGGGGACAAAATGGGTACGTAATATATGAATTAGCTAATTCACATATTACGTACCCATTTTGTCCCCATATCCACGTGGCGTTACGGGGCGTTACGGGGCATTACGGGGCTTGACGTAACGCTTTTTGCACAGCTCTGATCTCTATATAAAAAATCATTGATCATGGTCATAAGATTATTCATATCAGCTGTGGAAAGAGATATTTGTTTTATATGTTCATCAATATTAATTTGAAGCAT